CGAAACCACATTTACTATATAATATTTTATTCACAATTGATTCTGAATCGGTTTGTATTTGTTTACTGAAAAATATTTATAAAAAAAATCTTATTACATCATATTAGCGAGCAGTAGGCAGCGGCTTGGCTCTGCTCCTGGCATTGCTGAAGTCCATGGGCGACGGTAACCACTTACCATCAGGTGGACCGTACGCTCGTCTGCCTACAAAGGCAATAAAAAATAAAAAAAATATTAGCTTTTAATTTTGTCAGAATCGACGCTATTGGAGTACGAGTATAACGTATTATTTTATAACTCCATATCATTGGAATGTTTTTTTTTATCTTCCGAATACACGATTTGCATGAGTAAAAGCTTCATCCAAAGAATAAAAATTAGAATATTTCCGTACTATTATCATATTACAGTTTCAAAATATTAATTTCACCCATCGCATTTGCTAGGTTTAAAAAATTTAAATTAATTAATTAATATAAAATTCGATTTGTCATAATATATATTCTGTACTTTCTTCGGGGTCTGCTAGTGTTCTCTTATGTATATTTAAGATCGCATCGCAATTCTCGGTACCAGCCCCAAAGGAGAAAGAATTTCGATGAAGGTATTTAACTCTTTGAACAGGCCCTCTCGATGTAATTAAACTAAAACCTAACTGACAAATCACATGAAAAACTATTTTGCGGATCGTTTGGCGATTTAGCTTTTTCTGTCGGTGTACACTTAGATTAGGAAGATAGCTAGAGAAGCTTGATTCAGGGCTTATAATCGGATCTTCCTTCACAAGGTTACTTTTAGTCAAGCGGATAAAAAGAACTCTAGAGAGGCCTACCATTCGTAACGACATTCTAGAGATTTATTTCCCATATAGAAAAACTAGCGGCATTTAAAATTAACATTATTATTTCTCACCCCCACAAAGATTCTCATCATTAACGCCCCCGAAACTGGTGTAGGGAGTCCAATACTCATATAAATATTAACCTATCCATTAAGTACCTACATGTATTTTCTACATGGATACCACGTTTCAATCAGATACATGGTTCAGTAGTTATAACGGAACATCCGTAAAAACCACTATAGATTTATATCTAGTATAGATAGATTAAATCTATCCTCCTAATTTTATACGGTGTTCGTGTAATTTACCATTACCATTAAGTATATATTTTTTTAAATTTAATTGAACGTACTAATAGCATAAGTTTATAAAACACGTAATAATTGACCGGTAATCGGATGAAGCATTCTCAGTTTGAACTTCCTTTATTGAGTTTAGGTTGGCTTTAATGGCAAAGTCCATCTAGTAGGCACTCATAGAAAGTTACAAATTAATTTAAATGTTCCAAGAACAACGTTATTTGGAACTTTAAGAGACTAAAAAGTTAGCTTTACTTCAAAATTCAGAGAAAACATTATTTTAGGCGGTCTGTTAAATAATTTAGATGAAGGAACACAAACAAAAATTTGTACTATTATTTTTTTTATTTCTATTAAAAGCACACTGAATAAAACGTTAGCTTTTATTCAAACGTTTTTGGGTAATAATTTTAAGATGTCTAGACTAAATTGAAATATTGTTGTCAGGGACTTATTGGTGGGTACAAGATTGTGATAATAAGGCATTTAAATAATGCTTAGTTAAAAAAATACTGTTAATACAAAAAACCATACGGCGCGCCTTCTTTTGCTAGTCTTGATGGACACAAAAAAAACGCTATTCTACGTAGGTCCTGAACAAATAATTGTATGTACATATAGGTGTAATTATATCTATTTTCTCTATTTAAAGTGTGCGTAGCCTAACAAATAATCCACCCAATACAACAAATGTATTCGTATCGAGTGATGCACGCCGGGATTCACATCCAGAAGTCAAGGACAAATTTTTTAGATACGTACCTACATAGCACGTGGTCACCAATGACTTTTGCAATGACGGAATAACTTCGTATAATAAAAATGAAAACCAGAAATAAGTTTGCGTAATTACCGATACTATTCAGCCCACACGGATAGGTAGGTAGCACTAACCTATGTACCTATTTCTGCTCCAAGTGCATCCGGTTGATGTGTGAGAGCCGTTAAATGGTGCAATTGAGACTTCGACCTCATGACTCTATAGGTACCAATTTAATAGCAAATGTACCGTGAACTCGTTCAAGAATTGCCTTTGTAGGTAGAAAACATACTGTTCACCCGATGGAATGTGGTCAAAGTCTATGGGATGACACCGGCAATGCTGGCTAGGGGCACGGCTGCACCGTCCCATTGACCACAATAAAAACGTTTCAGAAACACATTGAACTCTTTTAAGAGAAGTAAACCATATGATTTGAATGTTAATATATATTCATAATAGTATTAGCATTTTTATTGCATATTACGGAATAATATGTACATACGTCACAATAACATGAGTCACATTTATTTTGTATAATATCTTCTTAATAGTGCGGATAAACACTAGGAAACTTTAGAATTGGTCAAAAATTAAATATCGAAATACATTAAAAGATGTATTTACTAATAAAGCATCTTTGCTAAATTGGGCAATCGACTTTAACTGACCCAAAAGCCGTCTTTAACGCGAAATATATGGAAGGCGTTATAAATAGCGACTTAAAGCACTGTTCAATCATTCAGCAATTTTTAAGGCGCACAAAATTACCGGGCTGTCGACGGAGGGTTCGTCCGCGCAGGTAGGTAGTTTGGGCTCGCAGGTAGCTGATACGATGTGAAGTTTAATACACCCGTTAACTTGAATCGTGAACAAAGGGACGGTATGCGAATAATTTGTCCTTATTACCATCTCTTTTGGCCTTTTGAATTCACCTTGAACCATGGCTCCAGGTCCCCCTTTTCAACCGGGATTCGAAAAGGATGATGTTTGTAAACGAAACAGATGGCAAACTGATATAATATTTCTAGATTAAAACTTGAGTAGTGTGTCGTATATTATTATGAGCCGAGGATATTAATTGATGGTCTGTCTGACTGTAATGAGACGTCAGCATTTTACTACTTCTTCACATCCATCTGTAGTTAGTATTAGTAGTTTTAGTAGTAATCTGGTAGCCAACTCGCTTCCTCTACTTGCTACCCAAATTGCTTTGCTAGAACTAGTAGAAGGTGCTATTACAAGTTCCCATAGGCTGGTAATATAACAAACACCATCCAGCTTTTTTCTAACACTAACACACATATTAATTAATATTCTAACATTGGGATAGAATAAATGATTAAAAAACGTTTGAAAAAAAAAAACATTAAAATTAACTTATACTGCGATGACTGTACTTTAAAGTTCTAATTTTAAAACAAACCAAAACCATCCACTCATAAGTAATAAGGAACAATCCAAAACATAAAAATTCTGACATTATGTAAGAAGATAATATTATTTTAATATAAATAATATTTAATGATAGGAATAAATCGTTAAATGATAATTTCTGATCGGAATTTTTTAAGTACAATTGTTACTCTTTTTAGGAAACTGATTATAGCTTGAATGTGAATCTGACATGAAATAAAAAGAAGATCTCAATTTAGAACATTTGACTATTTTAATTTGGTATGAAATGTAGACTTCCTATTACATTATTGTAGAGCAGTAATACATATAAAAAAAAATGCTCACTACCAAGAACACCAGGTTTATTAAATTTACATTTAACATGATTTCTTACTACTGGAGCCTGGAGTAAATGAGCTGTGATCAACTCTGATATAAACTCTCAACTCAGCATATGATATAAAATGCATTTTTGGAAAGATTCACATTCCAAAACATTTCCTGGGATCTCATCAACAATCCAAAGTTTCAAGTAATGATATAATTGCGTAAATAAAATATAATAAATAAAAAACAAAAAAGAGCGATAACACTATCACAAATTTTTTGTTGTTATACTATTAACTATGACAATGGGCAATCTTAAACTAAAGTATGTAATATCTGTATATAAGGTTTTTATGCACAACTCTGTATGTGTATAAAACTCAGTATCCTCAATTCTAAGGTATAAATTCAACACAACTATATAAAATTGTAAATTCAATAGGACCAAAACAATAATAACATAAACTTTATTTCATATTTCCTGATTAAATTAATTCATTCATCCATTAAATTAATTCATACTAGGTTTAGCCAATGGATATATATTTTATTGTTTTCTGTTTCATTGCAAACTTGAGACTATTCCAAAATTAGTAACTAGAAATTGTAACGCCATTAATGATTCTGATCTTAATATAAAAAAAAAAAATTGATGACAAACAATACCACCTTTTTGACATAAGATACTGAATACATAATAAGTAAATAATTAATTAATACCTTTCTGACCAATCTATTGTAAGTTTTATCAAAAATCAATACTTACCTAGTATATTTGTTTTCATTAATTTATTTTTAATCTCATTTTAGTGAACATCCAGTTTTTTTATCCTAACACAAGTAAACAGCATCCTTTCAGATATAAATAAACTCTATTTCTGTCTCGTTTATGCACGTCATTTGTCCGATCTCAAGAGAAGGACAGACTATTATTACGAATCAATCAATCTACGGCCGAATTGACAATGGACATGATATTTGTGTGGTTGCATTTTATTATTAGACATTTAATTGTTGAGATTACTTATTTCAAACTAATCAAATTATTGAATAAATAGATAACTACATATTCATTTAGTAGAATGAATGTCAATTATTACATCCAGTCAATGAACTTTGTCTTTGTATCTATGTGGTAAAACAAACAAATAGGTAGGTACATATTAAAGAGGTGTGATTGTTTTTGACCAAAACAACCTGTATTCAAATCGAAAAAGACAAAAATCAACGCCATGCGCCATAACTTAATATTCTGGTTTATGTGTCACCAGGGTTATCTTTATCAGGTTCCTAACCCGAAAACATAGACGTAGAAAAAGCATCAATCAACCTACATGCTATTTTGTTCGAAATGAGAAATCCTTATACTCACAGGATAATACATCCCCTGCGGCGGCAAAAAAAAGGCCCCCGATCCCCACAGCTTGCCGTTTGTATTTACTTTGTTAGCCACAAAAATACACTCCACGTACGCCCCCTTGCTTAGGCGTAGTCTTTCACAACACAAACTAAAAATTCGAGGTTATCATGAGTATTTATATAGTAATAACGATTTTAAACAGTACTAAAAATAATCAAGATTGTTTAGTTTTTAGGTTATGTATATTTGAGCGCGGAGGAACGCGCTCTCTCACTGAAAACGATTGACTCGATGTGCAACAACGGACGAACAAGCGATCGCGCGTGGCCTGGCCACTTCGACGGGAGCCTCCGCCTCACCCCGTCCCCGTCCAGAATACAAATCCCTATGTGTATGAGAGAGATGAAAGATGTCGCTATTTTTATTCGGGTTGTAAAAAGCAATGCCTACATCATGCCGTCTCTTTTTTAAATCTTCACCTCAAGAAGTCTTTTTGAAATGAATATGAACAGGAGAATATAATTCGAACAGTAGGAATAATAACCATTAATGCTAAGTACAGTTTTCTGAAAAATAATTTCCTGTGAATCAAGTTGAATCAACAAAAAGACACTGGATGAAGCAAAAAAACAAGTTAATTTCACGGTTTTAGCTCGGGATCATTCCTGTTAATTGGCAATCATTGTTTACGTATCCCAATAGTAAAAATAAAACCGTGTCATCTGATTTTATTTAGCAAGCAAGATTAGTATTATTTAGTATCACATTATTTTTATCTATGAGTGTGAAGAATGACAAAACACAGGCTAAGTGCTAATTGGACCAATATTGGAGGGCTTAGGGTTTCAAATCACGATAATTAATGTAGAAGTTTGTTAATTATGGCAAATTTTATTAGATTTTTTTATTTTATAAATATAACATTTTCAGGAATTCCCGCTTGACAATTGATTCCCATAATAGCTAATACTTTTTAAATAATTTTAATCTCCAAATCATTATTATTTAGCGATTTAGGTACAACTTCTTTGTTTCTTGTTTAGAATGCTATGTGCAAATTTTTTTTTCATACGGTGTAGGTTTGTTAGGCTTACTGATTAAAATAGAAATATGAGCATGGTTTTTCTTAATTAATGTGTTAATCTAAAATAAAATATGCAAAAGCTATTTTCTTTCAAGTTTCGAATATCTCTTAAAGTTTTTCAAGTATGTTTGGCTGAAATTCGAGAATTTTCGAGACTTGCCCGCCCTTTAAGTAAATGCCCAGTAAAGGGTACCTTTTTTGGGTCAAGAAGAAATCGCCGTATTTCCGCTTACGCATTGGAGGCAGTAGGCGAGACAGAACTCAACCGACCCAGACGGAGTCAAGAGGAACCGTTCCGCACGCAGCGCATTTCTCACCACCACCCTATCCGGCAGCATAAATCATCCGCCACCTGATTATTATTTTAAAATACACGTCTAGAGAAGCTACACGTAATCTTGGGTCTCCCTTTTCTCAAAGTAGCGTATAGAAGAAAACCTAAAATACTTAGCAGGCTATAAATCGGATAAGATCCTTATCACGAGTTATCATCATCATCACGCCCGCAAGCAAAGTTTTTTTCAACATGATCACGAAAACAGAGATGGACAACCCTCAAGCAAGAACAAAGAAACTTTGATAATAATACTCTGCTCCATAAATCAAAATAATGAAACCGAAAATAAAATAAGTATAATTTTGTCAAATTAAAACCTAATTCCATTAATATTAAAATTAAACTATGAAAACTCGGAAAGGCATTACCGGGAATATAATGCGTTTTATGGTTAAGGTAGTGCCATTATTGATGAAGTTCCGAACTAAAGTTTTGTTAAAATAACATTATAATTTATAGTCCCAAGCGAAAGAATTAGCGAAACAATAAGTAGGCATCTTAAATGTTAATCCAGAAAATGATGTACTATCTAAATGCAATTTTTCGTCGAAATCGGTTCAATGATGTACATATGATTATGAAACAAATATTCTCAACACAACAAAAAACAACACAATACATCTTCATATACTTTCAAAGCCATAATATTAGTAGGATATCATAACAGGTCCTTGATTTTTATTTTTCTATTCTCTCTCGGTCGGTTGGTACTTTTCACCAATACGAATTGGGGTAAATATATATTTCATCTTCGTCTTAAAGCCGAACGCATTCGGACGAATTCATCCTGTCGGGGCCCCTATTCTTGATAGAGTTTTCATCTGTGTTCATCTCAACCTCAAATTCTCTGCCCTATTTACGTTGATTATGTTTTGTTATTTTTTATTTCGGTTATGTTGTATGAGAATATGTATAATATGAGTAAGTATAAGTACTTAGCAGTCTTTTTTTAAGGACAAGTTCAGATTGAATTATATTTTTTTATAGACTTATTCATATTGGTATTACCGATCTACATCGTGTCCATTCGTAAAAACAAAAGGAGAACACAAAATTAAAAAATTAAGAAGAGAGGATTCATAAAAAATTGACACACAGCTATAATTTCATGTAAGTAGGTATTTGTCACCGGTCCGTGGAAATTACAATTATGCACTTACTATGACAGTACATTCGTTTCCAAAAAGAAGTAGAAATACATATTGTATGAATGAATAAGATATTAATAATAATACAGGATCACAGAATATACGTATGCACAGATAAATGTATTATAGGTACCTCCTTGCACAGAGCGCCAGCATACTTCGCATCCACAAAATCACATTAATCCATATATTATGTATTTCTGTGATCGCATTGCATCATAGTACACCGTAGCATCGTATTGTAACGATGTGAAACGATTGTAACTGCATTTCAAGATTGAAAACTAAGTTTCTTATTTCTCTACAGATAAACGAACAGTCCAAAAGTTCTACTTTTGATGCACCATTGATTAAATTTCAATCACATTTCCCATATTTTTATATATATAATTTTATATATTATCTCAAGGTATTGTGGCATGAGTATATAATTAATTATAGTAGAAAGAATAATATACTATATACAGCCATAAGCCGAAATCTATCTTCGGGCGTACTTAACTACGAACAATAACCGGAAAACGTTATCAATTGCAATATTTTTGAATTAAAATGAAAGGAATTTGGAACATTGATTTAAACTACCTGTGCGCCAAATGTAGAATCTATCAAAATTGACAGCCGACAAAATGAGCTCCCAGCAGCTGCGTGTTCGCGTTTGTTATATACCTACTTATCAATGGCTTTGGTTTCAAGTGTGTTTATTCCCGAGCACCCTACATAATATAAGTTAATGCAAATTCAGGTCGTCGTCGTGGCCTAAAGGATAAGACGTCCGGTGCATTCGTATCTAGCGATGCACCGGTGTTCGAATCCCGCAGGCGGGTACCAATTTATCTAATGAAATACGTACTTACAAAATGTTCACGATTGACTTCCACGGTGAAGGAATAACATCGTGTAATAAAAATCAAAACCCGCAAAATTATAATTTGCGTAATTACTGGTGGTAGGACCTCTTGTGAGTCCGCACGGGTAAGTACCACCGCCCCGCCTATTTCTGCCGTGAAGCAATAATGCGTTTCGGTTTGAAGGGTGGGGCAGCCGTTGTAACTATACTGAGATCTTAGAACTTATGTCTCAAGGTGTGTGGCGCATTTACGCTGTAGATGTCTATGGGCTCCAGTAACCACTTAACACCAGGTGGGCTGTGAGCTCGTCCACACATCAAAGCAATAAAAAAAAATAAAAAAATCAGTTGGTCTAGCATAAGTTAAGTAATATACTAGCCCCACTAGTAGACACTAGTTCTACTAGTAGTATATTAGTATTAAAGGTATCAGAATGTAGCATTGTTCCCAGTCCCCAAACGTTTTTGTACGCTTTACATTGCAGATTCTCGAAACTTTCATTGTATTGCTAAACGTCATTTGAATTTTTTTTTTTATGCTAAGCAGTAGGAGGTAATAGTATCTATATGTTTTCAGTTTGAATTCCAAGACCGGTGGCTATATGGTACTTTTATGCGCTGTGGAGTAATCGTAACGTAACCAATTCAAATATCGGAGAAATGTTATCCTTGTAATTACCGACGTTTACAAATGCCTTAAACAGTCTAATACTGTATAAAATAATTAATTTTAAATTCCACGAATATGATTATTTCACAGTTCGGTAATCACTGTCTGTGAATATATTTTACTATTGAGAAATTATGCCTAATAAGTTTCCATATTGCTATTGGTACTAAAGATCAAATAGAGAAAAATTGCTAAACTTGAAAGTACATATATTTATCAGTTTGCATTTCAACTGCGAATTGATTTAAGTTTTAATAGTTCAAGCGCCATCTATTGTTGCGTGTAGGCATAAACTAGTGGAACGGTATTGCATTGCACTCTGGTCATTTAATCGTGGTTATAGTCGTGGTTCAGGCCTTTTACAATAAATTTCAACAGATGGCCAGTCTGATGCTTCTTTATTTGAAAAATAATAATTATATAATTGTGAAATAAACTAACAAAACAGGTTTGACAACTGTCGAAATGGCACTTGTGTTATTTATAGCCACTGCCATAATCATTATTTCTACGCATAAATATATCATTGTCTTAATCAAAGCCACGAGCTTTGACTGATTCTTATTAGAAATGGTATAAAAACATTTTACAAAGGATTACGAATAAATAAATAAATAAATACAAAATTTGATTTATATATCTATGTTCTGTGTATATTCCGAAATGGCTGCACCGATTTCCGTGAAATTTTTAGGAAATCTTGAGATTTGCCTAGCGGCTGATCTAGGATTGAAGTCAAATCAGCTAATCGGGTTTGACTAGTAAATAGATTAATAGAAACTTTGTTTATATCCAGTTAAAGTGTAAATATTTAAATAATTTCCGAAATCTTCAACAGGATAATCGTGATAATTTCCTATCAGATAATTATCACTTACAGATCAACAATTAAAAAGAAATTAGAAAAAAACGAATTTATTTTTTCTGCTACAGATAACTGAGTCTTGAAATAGAAAAATTTTTGTTTTTAAAAGACCTTGGATTCCTGCACTATTGCGTTTCTATAAAGAACTGACGGTTGGATTACTAGATATATTATATTTATACTGTACATTAGAAATCACTTTGTTAATTTTAGGCTGTTAGGAAAGCAGATCAATAATGTCAGAATGGTTTCAACGATCTGACAAGACCTTTCAAGTCCGATCAAATATCTGGTCGGGTCCGCCCACAAATAACCCTCCCTGAGTTACCCTACCTCGAGGCTAATCGTCATAACTCGTAAGCA